ATTCCACACTCTGATAATGATCCAACTCCTTCCAGACAGAAGTCAAGTCAGAGTAATATACAGATAGACACCTCTCCCCCTGTTTACAAGTAGACGATTTTGCCTGTAGTTGGTAGATTTTTGCATAGTGTTGCAGTTCCAAATATGTTGATTTTGCTTGTTCCCAGATCTCATTTGCCGTTTCAGCCCACATTAAATTCCTCCTTATTTGAGGTTGCATAGAGACTAAAAGCCAAGACATAACAATGCTGTTTTCCTGATTCCATCTATCATATTCAGCACTCCCAGAATGTGGTTCTTTTGTTCTCCCATTAATATAACCTATCTTCCCCCTTGCAGTGATGTACAACTTGATCCCTCTTGACCACTCTAAATAATTCAAACCATCAAGAGGGACAACAGCCATGGGAAAGGATAGGTCCACACCCCCACTCATTCCATTCAGCGTGGAGGAAACTCCGGATGTAGCAGAATCTTCACCACTCATGATTTCAGATTAAAAAAACAACACCCAAAAGAGGAACACAGCCTTAAAAAGTTGTTACAGAAGGTACCAGCCACTTCCAGACCTTCAGTCCACCAAACAAGCTGCTGTTGCAGCACATAAACAAGGTCCTTACGACCTACAGTTTCACAGGGATCAAACGGCCCCATAAAAAAGGAAAAGAAAGAGGTGCAGCTCACCTCACATCCAATCGGCAGGCCTAGTACAGGTCCAGCGCAGGTGCGCACGACCAGAAAGGAGAAGAGAGTAAAAAAAAAGTGGTACTTCAGTCGAACATCAGGACAGCCGAACAGCAGATGAACAGCAGATGATAACTTCTGAAAGTCTGTCACCCTCGAAACAAAGTCTTCTACATGCTGGAAGAGGAAAAGACAGACTGCACGACTTCACCCTTCAGACCTGGATGTCCTGCTCTGATACCATGTTGTGCAGGAAGAAGAGAGAAAGGGAGAGAGGAGAAGAGAGACGAGAGGACTGAGAGCCCCAAAAGATACTGCAGGCGGCGTATGTTATATTTATACTAGGGCGACAACAACTAAACATAAAGAAAAGGAAAAGTACAATAGTACCCCTGCGGTACTATACATATATAAAATAACATCTGTTAACACCTTTTTCAAAAAAAAAACTTTTTTTTGAAGAATAAAGAGAAAGTTCATTAAAAGAAAAAGAGAATACAAAAGGAAATGGAGATGTGGCTTTTGAACTTAGGGAGAATAGCAATGATGGATTTCCAAGGGAATGGAGATGTGGCTTTCCTTGGAAGGCCTGTGCCTCGTCTAAAATTATTGATACCCCCAATGATCTTGATCATAATGCCATAAGCTATCTTGTTCTCCGGAAATCTCTAAATCCATTTACCCAAGAATGCAGTTTTTGGTCCCTTAAGCACTCAATTCCTAATCCTCCCTTGTTATTGACTTGTCTTTTTTTTTTTTCTTTTTGATTGGTCATGATTGTCTTTTATAAAGAACTCTTTAAGAAACTAGATACAAAGGAGGGTGAGAAGGATATATATGAACCAGCAAAGATAAAACCTCTGGTCAGTTTCTAACTTACATGATATCATTGGAAAATGGAAGGAGGTGGCAAGGACTTTATAAAAAAAAAACCTTATGCATAAGTTGGACCCCTAGAGAAAGGGTTCATGAAGCTTAATTTTGATGGAAGTATCTTCCATCAGGGGTGGGGGGTATCTTCCAGAATGAGGAGGCCATACAGTGGCTTTATTTTCATGGCTGATTGGTTTAGTAGACTCTCTAATGGCTGAAATCATGACTGTCATGGAAGGAGTGCAAAGGGTGAGGATACTAAATTTGAAGTTAATCATTGAAGGAGATTCAAGAATTATGATTGAATTGCTGCAGAATGGAGAAGCAGCTCTTTGGTTTTACAGAAATGAAAAAAATCAGATGGCTTACTAGAGATATGAAGTGAGATACCAATGGGTGCAGAGGACAGCAAACAGCATGGCTGATGCTTTAGCTAAACAAGGGGTGGAGAGAGATCAAATTTTCTGGGCGCTTTTGTAAGAGAAGAGTGGGACGGGAGATACTTTTTATCTCCCCAGCAGGTGATTGTAATTGTACTTTGTACATTAAAATTTACTAATAATAAAATGGTTGGTTATTGATAAAAAATTGCAAAGATGTCGGACCCAGAAACTGTTGTTTGGGGATATAGGGACATCATAAAAAAAAGTCAAATGGCTTACGAGCATAAAAAAAAGTCAAATGACTAAAAGCTGAGCTAATACCTCAGCTTTTAGTCAAATGGCAGATTCTTTAGCTAAACAAGTGACTTCAAGGGATTCTCTGTTTTTGGCTAATTTGTAACTGCAATCTGAAAAGAGTTGGGTTTGGAACCACCTTTAAGGGGAGGTAACACCTCGTGCCTCCTCTTAGGGTGCTTCATGCTTGTATTATTTCTATCTCTATTTAATAAAATACCATTCATTCATCAAAAAAAATTGCAAAGATAAAGGAGAAGAAAAATAAAAATAGAGATCATGTTAGATGCATCAAATTGAATATAAAAAAGTTTTAGCAACAAATGAGGAGATTAAGGAGATGTGAAGAAGATAATTTAAAAAATTATTGAATGAAGAGCATGTTGGGAACCAAAATTTTAAAGGTCTTAGGAGCTCTGTAGGAAGTAGAGAACATACATATAATGATATATTATTCATAGAATTAGGGCTTGAGAAATTAAAAAAAAAATAAAGCCTTGAGGAAGGTGAAGGTATGAAAACCTTTGGGACCTGATGGTATCCTAATGGATTTTTTTGATTGCCAACTGAAATTTTATTAAAAGAATAAAGAATAAATTGTATACAATGATACCAAGCATCCTCCAACTTGATAGCTCCAACGACTTAACAATTTGGTAGAAAATTGTAATTCAGATTGTAAATTTGTATATCGTAATATTAATAAAATTCCTAGTACTTGTAAAAAATTGATAGAAAATAATGGATCTTGATAGAGTGGATTAACAATTTGGCATAACTGGATTTGTGTACCTGAACCCAAATAGTTGGGGTTAAGGGCTAAGGCAACTGAGTTGACTTGATAGTGGTACATGATAGCATGGGGTATTGTCATCCTGCTGTTCAACAATTAGGGATTATCATGGGACAATCCAGGCCAGGCCTGGGCTGGGTTTTTACAAGGTAGTAACAGCATTTTGGGCTGCCTGGGCCCAGCTTGGCTTGCACCCAACGTCTGATGGTATATGTCTGGGCCCACGCTGAGCATCCAGTTTTGCATCTGTAAATTAATGAATTTGTATTTTTTAAATAAAAGTTTAATCTTAATTTATGTTTAAATTTTAAAATTACAGAAAAAATATATAAAAATTTATTATACATATATTAATATATGCATATATACTATAAATATAATTTATATAATACACATATATTATAAATATTATATTATTTATATTAAATTTCCGGGCCTGGCCCGTGCCATGTGTGTGCTTGATGTGGGATGGGCCAGTCAATCTGGGCCCATGCAGAAATGATCAACCATACATATTGCATGGTTGTAATAAAGAGCTCCTTGGTGCCTTTTCTTTCCCAATTTGTGTAAAGCAAACTAGAGGGTTTGTACTCCCTGTGAAATCCTATAATCAGATTAAACTAAAATCTACATTTGGGGTATTTCTTGCATTTTTTTTTGTTTCTTATGCCTTTGGAATTTACTTTTTTCATTCTTCCAAGTCATTTGTGTCGATTAGCTGAACAGCTGATATGCCTAGTTTATTTGCCTTTGCCTGGAGGGATGTTGCACTGGATTTAAAAAGATTGGCATTATGCCTTTTTATGATTTCTTAACATAAAGTCAATGGTTCTTGAGATCAATCAAAAGGAAGTATTTCAAGCAAGTTGGCCTAATTGGCCACTAGAGTTCTAGGAGGAACAAAAAAGCAGAGAGGAAAAAAATGGTACCTTCAAAGTCACATAAAGCACTATTCTATTATGAACAATTATTGAAAGCAGGACATTATTGAAAGCAAGACACTGCTTTCAAGAATTCTCAGTCACAGACATTCTAAGAACATGGACAGAAGTAGCACAGTCTTCAAGAGTGAAAGAGAAAGTATGGATGGAGTGGAAACCCCCAGAAGGCAACAGGATTAAACTGAATTTTGATGGGAGCTTCTTTGGAAATCCGGGACTATCAGGTATAGGAGGAGTAATCAGAAATTCTGAGAAGAGGATATTGACTTTGTTTTCAGGTCCGATTGGCACTGGTAATTCACTAAAAGCTGAGGTATTAGCTCTGTTACAAGGGCTGAAGCTAGCTAAGCAGCTAGGACTTAGGCATATTGAGGTGGAGAGGGACTCAAGAGTGGTCATTTCATGGGCTAAAAATAATAGACTTACTCCGTGGACTTTCAAACACGTGATTAGGGAAGTGGAAAAGATTGCAAAGGAGGTAGAAGCTGACTTAGGCATATTGAGGTGGAGAGGGACTCAAGAGTGGTCATTTCATGGGCTACAAACAATAGACTTACTCCGTGGACTTTCAAACACGTGATTAGGGAAGTGGAAAAGATTGCAAAGGAGGTAGAAGCTGACTTAGGCATATTGAGGTGGAGAGGGACTCAAGAGTGGTCATTTCATGGGCTAAAAATAATAGACTTACTCCGTGGACTTTCAAACACGTGATTAGGGAAGTGGAAAAGATTGCAAAGGAGGTAGAAGCTGATTTCAAATGGGTCAGAAGGAGTGCTAATGGGCTAGCTTATGCTCTTGCAAAACAGGGGGCACTGGGGCAACAATTATTTTGGGCTGAGCTGTAAAGTGGAACAGAAATATGTACTAAATCGGGAACAACATTCCCATCTACATGTTGCAAATCTTTGTCTTAAATCTATTTTAAATAAAATTTTCTTCTACTGATAAAAAAATAAAATGCATGCACTTTGTGCTTGCTTAATCATTCGGTTAATACTTTTTCCCTTTGGCTGAGACATTACACCTTTGCAGCAGTCTCCTGCTGGACATTCAGCTTACTCTTTTCATGGAAATGAGGCACAGTCAGAGAAGTGAGTGTAGCAATAAAAGTATCTTGTTTTGAAATTACTTTTTTTTTTCCTTCCATACTGTCAAATCAAAAAATTTTGTTACTCTAGGAGGCGAAGTGTCGTTGACCTTCAACGTTGATTAGCTTTTGGGGACATGTTATTTTCAGTTTTATTGAGATGTACCTCAGACCACCATCTGCAAGTGAAGAAGCACGGATTAATGACTGGATAAAGGTGCGGCAGTCTGGCATCAGATATTATTTGTCTCTAGGTGATCAGAGGATTGTTGACAAGAATTACATAATCAGACCAAAAGCAGAGTTTGAGGTAAGTTAAATTTTTAATGAATATTAGTTTTACTTTATCTTTTGCAATCAATATTAGGTCATCTTCAATTGTCTTGAAGAACATTAGGTCTTTGTTCCTTATTTGACCACTTAATGCTATAAGACCTGATTCATGTATATTTTTATCTTGAAATTACTTGACAGATGTAAGCATAATAATTTTCCACTGAATGTCTGGCTTGCTTTGCTGCATTTTATGTCGTTGAGTTGGTGATTTTTCTGCATACTTGACATTTTAAGATTTTAGTCTTACATTTCTTCATAGTTCTCTTATTAAGTTTCAATTTCATGTAATGTTCTTGGTAACTCATGTTGGCTTGATTCTTTTCCAAGAAGATGCTTGAAAAATAATTTTTTTGTTCTACCACCCCTCTTTTTGGTGCTTAAACTCTTCTTGTTATCATGTTCCAGTTATGCTAGTGATATGAAGTCATACAGAATGTAAACCAGACCTCTTGCCTGCTGATGAGTAATTTGTAAATTTTGTGTTGTCCCTTGGGATTTCCTTGTTTAGTTTACCTTTAATTGTCAAGCTTAGTTACTTAAATATATTGATTTCCATGTTACATCTTTGGTTGGAGGATCATTGGCTAAACAAACTAAAAGCCTGCTTACCAGAGGAAGAAACAATAACAGACAATAGAAATCTAATAGAAGAAGTTTCCATTGTATGGGAACCTAATCCAAGAGGAAGGTCCCAGACATGTTCAAATCATCAGAGATGGGCTTGGTCAGTCTGGGTACCTGGCAAAATGAGCTCTGCAATCTGGATAACAAGTAACCAGGAAAAATATTAAATTATAGACAAAAATAAACAAGTACAAAAAGAATGAAGGTATAATGATATCCTAAAAAGAAGCTTTATAGTTTGCCATGGTACCATCATCTACAGAAAAAAACATCCCAATTTGAGTACACCCTTAATATGACAAACCAAAACCTTGTCAATAAGATTCATTGATATCCATGGGATATTTTTTGTCAAAAATCATTTACATTCTTCGTATATACTTGTATTCTTTTCTTTCCAAAGGTGCCAACAAATGGCAGTAGGGTTACACTCCTCCCTCTCGTGGCTAAATCACCATTTAAATTCTTGTCTATTTAGTTTTAGTTGTGAACATAGGCACTGGATATCTGGATGCTACTTATCATATTCTGAAGACCTTTATTTTTCCTTTATATCTTTTGTAACAGGTTGGACGGATGACTTTGGGAGGGCTGCTAGCTTTGGGATACACTGTGGTAGTTAGTTACAAACGTGCGTCTTCATCAGTCAGTAATGGAAATGTGTCAATATCACTTGAAATGATTGATACTCTTGGCGAGACATTCATGGTGTTGAGGGGCACAGATAGGAAAGTATGGATTCATTATTGAAGGGAGTTTTTGTTTGATAAATATTGCCAGTTTCTATAACTTTAAACTTTTTGGTATTTTATGGAATTAAGATTTGTCCATGGTGTTGATAGACCAATTTTGTATTCAAGTGGTCAAGCTTTAATGGAAAGTTGTGTTTCTATGTCTAGTTTTCTTTTTCTTTTTCTTTTTTCTTTACTGTGGATTCTATACCCTTTTGTAAACCATTAAATCTTTCAATTTTCATATTATTAGAACTTCCTGTTGCTGTTCAAACAAGAATGAAAAGAGTAAAGGAGATAAAGAGGGAAAGAAGCATCCGTTATTGTGAAAATGCATTCACTAGATGAAATGATTTTAACATCCATTGGCTTCACAAGTTAGCCATGATGCAAGTCCATTCTAATAATATGAGGCACAATGAGCTAGACAAAGGGTGATTAGGAATTCTATTTTCTGGGCTCAGATGTTATTGTTCTTTTTCCTTTTGGGTGTCTGTCGACATACTTGGGGAGTTAAGATATTTTAGTTCCCCTCTGTAAGCTTATTCTCTTTTAGTGAAATTTACTGCTACTGATAAAAAAAAAGAGGCAAAAAAAAAAAAAAAAGAGGCACAATGAGTTGATTTCCTACTGGCTTTTATACATGCCAGGCATGCTCCACAATTTTGATCCTTGATGGTTGGAACTTTTGTGGTGTGTAGTGTGTCTGAAACACTGAGGATGCACAAAAACTTCCTTAAATATCTTGTGGTTCAGACTTTAAGAACATCACCTCGTTGTCCATGGCCTTCACTTGCATATTCTGATAAAGATTGCAATTTATTTTTTCTTCATAACTTTTTTGTCTATTTATTTTTACTGTCTTGTTTCCAAGGCTTTTATGATGAAGTTATCTAAGGTGTTATGGTGATTTACATCCCTCTTGGTCCTTTTCTCTAGGTAGTTGGTGCAGAAGCTTCTAGAATGGGCATCAGTGGACCATGGATCACTAAATCATATTTAGAAATGATCCTTGAAACCCAAGGTATGGATCTTATTTTCTATTTTTTTGTTTTTTATTTTTCACTTTTTTGCTTTTCTGCACAATTGTACACCCATTTATTTATATATGTTATATTTTCCTTGTTTTGGGTCTTAATTGTTGCTTGACCAAATTAGTTCTTCCCACTTTCAGGTGTCCCACGTCTTAATACACCACCACCTCTGTCCAATACACCTTCAGTTGGGGGTCAAGAAAGGGTGATTGGTGCCCCAAAGCCAATTCGTGTTACTCCTAACCTTGTTAAGAGGCTTGAGGATCTATCTCTTCCTTGGACTCGATCCCCAACAAAGTCCCAAATGGAGCCTGTGCTAGCAACATGGCAGTTCATCTCCTCGGACCATCCACATGCTGACAGCTCAGTCATAGGTTAGGATTTATGGATCTTTTTCCAGGAGCACTTATTCTTTCTCTCCTTTTCTTCATAGCCAGGTGCTTTGCATGCCATTATCTTATAACTATATAAGTTTAGGCTTCTCTCATGAAGCAACCACAGATTCTTCTGCTTTCAGGGATAACTTGCAGCTTGTTCCAATGCCTGATTCATGTGATTTGGATAGAGGCTTGCTTCTTTCTGTTCAAGCAATCCAGGTAAGTAATATTGAAAAAGTTTCCATGAAAGCTTTATTTTTTTTTTCCATGAAAGCTTTCTGTAGGTTTTCTTTGGATTTGATTAAGCTATTTAATATCTTTGATCCTTCCAGAGTTGATGCACTCTCTATCTATTGTTTCTCAGGCATTATTGGAGAATAAGGGCCTCCCTGTTATTGTTGGCATAGGTAATATGGGATTGCATGTGTAATTGCCATCTCTCTCTCTCCCCCCCTACCCCCATCTCCAACACACACACACAAATATGCATTATATAGCTAATAGACAAGTAACTACGAAAATTAATAACTAAGTACAAAACTTCCAACAGGAGATTGTGGAACATGCTTTCTATTTGATTTTGTATATTATAAAGAGAGAATAGAGGTGCCAGCTGCATATATAAGAAAAGATAAGGCCAAGAAGGATAGTCTGAACCAAGTCTTCATAGAACCCCNCGAATCTCATAATGAGCCCCAAGGAATGGGAACCCCTAGTTCTTTCGTGTTTATTCCATATCTGGCTATACTATCTGCCAGTTCATTTGCTGATGTACTAATCCAGGTAAATATGATGTTCTCCCTAGATGAAATGTCATGTCTTCCAGACCACCTTCCCTTATAAAATGTCACATCTCCATCCAATGCTTTCAATCTCCTGATTATCATTTTTATCTGTTTTGCTTGACAGGCTTATAGCCTTGCTTGTTAGACCAGCACTTGTAAATGGTTAAGATTAAAAATAGAACTAATAAATCATTGGCATGACTTTCTCTTCTTACGATTAGCATCCTTACTTACTCATGAATATGATAGATGTACTCTATAATGTTTCTTTTAAACAATGTAGTATATTTGTAGCCCTTAGATTTCATTCCGCTCTTCGTTTGCTGTTTTAACAGTAAAATTATGGATAATATTTTCATGCAGGAGGTCCAAGTGGATCTGGAAAAACCAGTTTAGCTCATAAAATGGCAAATATTGTTGGTTGTGAAGTCATTTCTCTTGAAAGCTATTATAAATCTGACCAAGTAAAGGACTTTAAGTATGACGACTTTAGCTCTCTTGATCTATCTTTGCTCTCGAAGGTAAGATGGCAAATATCCTTTCTATTTTATCTTCTTAATTGTCTTCCCTGATTTTTATCCGGATCAAATTTTTGATTCCTTGCACTTTTCTTTTTCTTTTAATACCTTTTTTTTTTAACTTTACCTTCAAAAATGTTTTCAAACAGCATACATTTTTTCTGGTTGGTAGAAAGAAACATCTACTATATAACAGAATTCATATATGTCTTGACATCACTCAACCTACCTTAAGATATTAATAGGAGCTCTGCTTTACAGTATATATATCAATGATCTTGTTGCCATAACCTTTGTGCAGAATATTCATGATATAAGGAACTGTCGAAGAACTAAAGTACCTCTGTTTGACTTGGAGACTTGTACTCGAAGTGGTTTCAAGGAACTTCAAGTTTCTGAAGATTGTGGAGTGGTACATTTGAAATATTTTGTTGCATATTTTTCTCATTATTTACTTGCCATCTTACTGCAATTCTTACATATAAGAAACATGTTTTACATGAAGAAGTAAAGCCATGTGGTTTAACATTTAAAGCGAAGATTGAGCAGGAATTACAAATACCCTTTAGGAGAATGAATCATTAAACATGAACATGCAATGAAATCTGTAGTCTGAAGCTTTTTTTGACATGATTCTTATTCCAAATGAGTTATTGCAATCAGCCCCAAGTCCCAATACATGGTTGCAGAACTTGGTCCAAGTCAATAATCAGGTTCTAATAACAATCTCTCATTTCATCAGTAAAGCTCTTTTGATTGTTTTACTGATAAAAAAGAATTTCATTGAAACTTACAATCCAATTATGCGGTCCCTTTCCTTCTTGCCAAGAATGGCTTGGTATTCCTCTTATGGGGAGGCAGGGAAGAAATTAAGCCACAACCTTTTGGCAACCTAGGCTGAACAAGAATCTTTGGTGTGTTCTGGGTTTGAAATGGTAATGTCTACTATGGAACTTTGGCAGCTCCTTAGTTCCTGTAGAGAACATTGATGTGGGCCCCACAGCTGTGGTACCACTCTGTCCATAGGGTAGAATGTATCTAGTCACAGCTGTGGTTATTTTGTTCTGTTATTTCTAGTTTCAGTTTTATATTGGTTGTTATTTGTTAGTAGTTATGATGTAAACACCAAGGGAAGATATGTCCTTTCATGTAGCTAGCATAACCTATATATATTAACTTAAAGTGGCGGCGGCAGAAT